CTCGGGCGCCCGAGGGGTCGCCGGCGGGCAGGGCGTAGAGCGGGAGGTAGTCGGACTCGCTGCGGGTGATGGTGTCGCAGACCACCAGCTTCTGGTGCTGGGACAAGCCCCACTGCTGGAAATGGTTGTTGGGCAGGATCTGGGCCTTGACGGCGGCCCCGGCGGCGCGGTGGTCCGGGGAGAGGCAGAGGAGCCGCCCGCAGCACCGGCCCCAGCCCTCGTGGCCGCAGGGCGGGCAGAGGAGCGGGTAGAGGCCGAGGCAGGCCAAGGGCAGCCCCATCCCCGCCTCGCAGAGCCGGCACGCCAGCTGCAGGGCCCACCAGGGCCAGGGCCCGAAGAGGTCCTGGCTGAGGCCGAAGCCCAGGGCGTGCAGGATGGCGTAGGTCTGCAGGGCGGCGCTGAGCAGTCCGAAGCAGGCGGCCGGGAGAGCGGTGCGGGCGGCCCGCTGCCACTCTCGGGCCTCGGCGAAGGGCCACCCAGGAGAAGATGAGGAAGGAGGAGGACAGCCCGGCCGCCAGGAGGGCAAAGACCCCTCGCGAGGCCAGGAGCACGAAGGGGAAGAGGCTCAGCAGGTCAGCGGCCAAGACGGCCCCCGCCGCCACCGAGAAGTGCAGGACGACCAGCAGGGCCAGCAGGCACGCCGGCCGGGAGCCGGGGCGCGCCGACCGCTGGAGCCGCGAGCGGAGGGAGAGGAGGAGGAAGGCCACGGCGAAGGCGGAGGTCAGGCACGGCAGGGCCAGGTCGTGCATCAGCCGGACGGCCACGTCGGGGAAGCGCTCCAGCTGCCCCCAGGCCTCGCCGAAGAGCAGCCCGGCCCGCGCGCCCCCGGCCCCCAGCAGCAGCAGGTGGAGCAGGGCCAGGAGAGCAAAGAGGGCGCCCGCGCCGAAGATGTGGGCCTCCCAGGCCAGGCCCCAGTCGGCCTGGGCCGTGTTCCAGTCCGAATGCAGAGGCACGAACAGGGGGAGGGAGGGCAGGAGCAGGGAGGAGAGCGGGGGCGAGTCGAGCTCCGGCCGCGGGGAGCCGCAGTCCTCCGGGCGGTCACCAGGCAGGCAGCCGGGCAGGGCCACAAACGCCCCCTCGCTGCCCGGGGAGGCGGACAGGCTGATGGACTCCAGGCCTGCAGGGAGAGAAGAAGGAAAGGAGGGCAGTTAATTAACTGGCTGGCCAGGAGGAGGGGGATGTATTGAAATGTACAAGCCAGACAACCCTGCACAAAGTCGTGGGGGAGGGAAGGAAACGCCGACCCTGCACGAAGCCACAGAAAACGGTGAAAAAGCGGCGGAAGCTTGTAAAGTTCGGGGGGGGGGGTTGCATTCCTGTGCTCCCTCCCACTGGTAGGGCTGGCAGGGATAGGCCTCCTCCCTTCACCTGGGAGGGCTGCTGCTGTGTGTGTGTGTGTGTGTTTCTGATCCCTTGGGACTCCAGGTGTTTTGGACTCCAGTTCCCATCATCCTTAGCCAGCCTGGCCAATGTCCAGGGATTCTGACCCACTGGGAGGACCCAAGGTAGAGGACATTTGGCAGGGCGTCCTGACACAGGAGCTGCATCATGGACCAAGGCTGAGGGCCGAGAGAGGTGGGGGGGAGGAGTCCCCCCCTTCCCACACCTTCTGCAGAGAAGGGGGCTTTCAAGCAGCACTGAGCTTTTTCCAGGTGGGGGGTGATTGTCTCTTAGGGGCTGGCTGGGGGGTGGGGGTGACCAGCTTCAACCCCCCCCCGCCACCCAGTCTCCTCATCCTCTCATCCTCAGTAGAGGAGAGCAAGCCCTTGGAGTGGACAGGTCTACCTGGAAGATAAGCTTCTACCTCAGGCTTCCTGGACCTCCTTGTCTCTAGACTCTCCTCCTCAATTCCCGATCGGCATTCCAGCCGTCTTTCTGGGGAGACGGGCTGGGTTGCCTCTGCCCCACACCTCACCCCATGCCCTCAGCTTCACAGGCATGCTTTCCACCTCTCCATTTGCTGGTTACAGGTCTGGGCCATTACGGATCTAGGATCCGTGCTGCATCTCTGCTGCCCCTTGGTTCTGCTCCCCGTTTGCAGTGGGTACCAACCGCCACATCCAGGAGTCCAAAAGCTTCTCGCAGACCCAGATTCGGGGACATTGAGCCCCCTCTTCCAGGGCAAAGCAGGGTGAGAACGCGTTTTTTAAAAACAACTGCCAACTTCTGGCAGATATGTCCTTTGCCACCCACCCACCCACCCCCGTTTTCTTTTCAAAGATCCTGTTTTCTGCTGAAAGATTTACTCTCAAGAGTGAAAAACCTGTCAAAACAAAACTCTTTAGGCCGGGCTGGAGAAGACCCCTGGCCAAGCCGCCTCCCGCCCCTGCCTCAATTTCTGCAGCCAGACAGGAAGGCCAACCTGAGCGGGTGGTCCAGGTGACTGACTTGGCATCAGGCAGTTCTTCTGAAACCCCCCACTGCCCCCCCACAACTCTCTCTCTCTCTCTCTCTCTGAGGCCCTAGAACGGAGCCGTCTCTTCCAGTCACGCATTAAACCAGCGTGGTTTTGATGCTTGGCTTCTCTGGAGCCCTGAAAGGACTTCTGTATCTTCCTGCAAAAAGGTCTTCTCGGGTGCTGCCAGGGACATATGGCCACTCCCAGGGCATGCGGCGTGAAGGCATGCCTGCGCCCCCCACCCCCACCCATTTAGCTTTGCAGCTATGATGGCAACCCCTCCTGAAGAGGCCTTAGCCGACGGCAGGCAAAGGTCCATGCACCCAGGCTGCCTGGCTTGCAAGCAGCTGCTGCTGTACCTCAGGGGAAGCCAGTTTTCAAGAGTGTTTATTCAGCACACACACACACACCCCTGTTTACAGAGGGTCTCATCTTCAGCACCCTCAAGAACATTGTGTGTCCAATAATAAACTCACTCCACTGCCTCCTGGCTTGAGGACTGCCCAATAAACCCTCTCGAAAACTGCACAAGCTCAGCCTTGGGGGGCTCTCCCTTTCATCCAGCTGAGCTGCCTGTAACACATTTAGCAAGAGCTCTCTTTTTGTTGTTGTTGTTCCTCTCCTGTTGTCTCAAGAGGAGATTAAATGAAACCCACATAATAAAAGAGCATTAATTTAAAAAAATATAAAGAAGACACCAACAGCTGGCTCTCCGTTCATCCCACAGAGGAATCAATCCACTTAACCTTCATGCAAGATTTAACATGGCACACAACAGAAGGAAATGCAACTCTCAGAAGAGCATTCATTACACCATGATTAGTTATCAATGAGCACAAACAAGGGATATTTCTATGCCTTCAGAGGGTTTTTTAAAAAGTAATTAAGAGACATTGTAGTTACTTTTGAGAAACTGGAAAGTAAAATGTTACTTTTAAAGACTGTGCATATAATGGCACCACATCCCTGGGGACATTTCAAGAACACTGCTTATAACACCTCCTTGTCCACATTTGGCAAGAAGACCAAAAAGATGGGAGACTGGTTTGAAGTCCATTTGGAGGAGTTGATGCCAGCCATCGAGGATAAGAGGAGAGCTCTAACAGCATACAAAACCTGTCCTAGTGAGTACAACTTGCAGGCTCTTCAACTTGCTCATAGCAAAGTCCAACAGGCTGCCAGGAGATGTTCTAACGATTATTGTCTCCAGCTCTGCTCTCAGATACAGATAGCAGCGGACACTGGTAATATCAAGAGAATGTATGATGGTATCAAGCAGGCTTTAGGTCCAATCCAAAAGAAATCTGCTCCTATGAAGTCTGCTACAGGTGTGATCATCCAGGACCGAGCACAGCAGATGGACCGCTGGGTGCAGCACTACTCTGAACTATATTCCAGAGAGAATGCAATAACCGAAGAGGCATTAAATAACCATTGAGTTCCTGCCTGTCTTAGAAGAGTTGGACAGCGAACCAACTTTAGTAGAAATAAAAGTGGCCTTGGATTCCCTCACCTCTGGCAAGGCACCTGGGAAGGAAAACATCCCTGCTGAAGTGCTGTAAAAAGATCACCACCACCGAGCTGTATGAAATCTTTTGTCTTTGCTGGAGGGAAGGTGGAGTACCACAGGACATAAAGGATGCAAACATCGTCACATTGTATAAGAACAAAGGAAATGGGCAACTGCCATAACTATAATGGCATCTCTCTTCTCAGCCTTGTAGGGAAGCTGCTTGCCCATGTTGTGCTGAATAAGCTCCAGGTGCTTGCAGACGGAGTCTATACACAATCACAGTGTGGATTTCGAGCTAATAGATCCACCACTGACATGGTATTTTCCCTCAGACAGTTGCAGGAGAAATGTAGGGATCTCACAAAGGCCTTTGATTTGGTTAGCAGGGATGGCCTTTTTAAAATACTTCCCAAGATTGGATGTCCACCTCGACTCCTTAACATCATCAGGTCCTTTCATGAGGAAACAAAGGGCACTGTAGTTTTTAGTGACTCAACATCAGATCCCTTTGACATCTGTTTCACTCAACAGAGCATGAACAGAGTTCCTACTCCAGTCCTCTGAAGATGCCGGCCACAGAGACTGGTGAAACGTCAGGAAGAACAACCTTCAGAACACGGCCAAAGAAAAACCCACAACAATTCATACATCGTTTTAGCAAGGCCTGCCAAGACTTTGGACTAACAACCAGCCTGAAGAAAACACAAGTCATGGGCCAGGGTGTGGACTCACCTCCCTTTATTACCATCTCCACTCAAGAATTGGAGGTTGTTCAGGACTTTGTGTACCTTGGCTCAACGATCTCTGACACTCTCTCCCTAGACACTGAGCTGGATAAACGCATTGGGAAAGCAGCTACCATGTTCTCTAGACCAAGATCCATGTCTATAGAGCCTGTGTCCTGAGCACACTCCTTGTCCTGCAGTGAGTCCTGGACCCTTTGTGCACAGCAGGAGAGGAAGCTGAACACCTTCCATATGCGTTGCCTCCAATGCATTTTTGGGATCACCTGGCAGGACAAAGTTCCCAATAGAGTAGTCCTAAGTAGTATAATACTACTGTCCTAGATCGAGCTGGAATTTTCAGCATGTATACATTACTGAAACAGCGACGTCTATGTTGGCTTGGGCACGTTGTCAGAATGGCTGATGGTCAGATTCCGAAAGATCTCTTGTATGGAGAATTAGTGCAGGGAAATTGCCCCCGAGGGTGACCACAGCTGTGATACAAGGAGATCTGCAAGTGGGATCTGAAGGACTTAGGAATGGACCTCAACAGATGGGAAACTTTGCCCTCTAAGCATTCAGCCTGGAGGCAGGCGGTGCATCACGGCCTCTCCCAATTTGAAGAGACCCTCGTCCAGCAGGCCGAGGCCAAGAGGCCGTCCCAAAACCAGCCAAATCAGGGAGCTGGATAGGGTACAGATTGTATTTGTCTTCAGTGTGGAAGGTATGGTCACTCTCGAATCGGCCTCCTCAGCCACACTAGACACTGTTCCAAGTCCTCCATACAGAGCATGGTACCATAGTCTCTCGAAATTGAAGGATGCCTAATCTAATCTAATCCTTTGGGGTGGGGGCTTGGTGCAATGAACCACAGCTGTTTTCCAGAAAGTCCCCTCCCAATAAGTCCCTCTTATTGGCCACCAGCAGCCTGCTGCTAATGGAAAGGGGAGACAGGCTGGGCTAGTTGCATCCTTGCCGTCAGTGGCGAGGGGGTGGGCGAGGGGGAACCTCCCCAGGCAAAGCCTTCTCCCCTTCAGGGCTGACTCCCCACATGTCAGGCAGTCTCTCCTGAAGACTAAGGGCATCATCACTGCAGCTCCAATTCTGTCAATGTGGGGGAGCGCTTGGACCCCCCCAGCCTTTGTCCAGAAGTACTTTCATTAGCAGCCCGCCACCCTTCTTCCTCTTTAGCAGCACACAAGGAGGAGCTGCCCCCCCTCAGTCAAGTGGTGGCAGGCCCAGGGTGGTAGGTGACCGCCCCCCCCTTGTTCCCGGCAGGCAAGCTTTCTTCCCCTGTCAGAAGGGAGACGGAAGGTCAGCTGGGAGGTGGAGAGCGAAGCCCCACTTGGCCTGGGGAGGGGGCCAGCCGGCCCTGCTGCTATTTGCAGAAGCCCAAAGGCTTTCCAAAGCACACAGGAGATCCAGGAGGCTGGGGAGGAGAGCAAACATCCCTGCCCAGGCAACTCCCAACAATGGAGAAGCAGCCAGAAAGCCCCCACTCCCCCCCCAGACCCCCAGGCCTCAGCTTGTTGGAGTGTCCCCCCCCCCTTCCAGGCTGGCCTAGCAACAACCCAGAACAGCCAGGAGCACCTCAACGGCAAGCGGCTCTCATGGTTTTGCTGCCAGTCCAGGCAAACCAAGGCCACCGCTGTTGTGTGTGTGCATTTGTGTGTGTGTACTTGTGTGTGTGTGTGTGTGTGTGTGTGTGCATGCGTGTATGGCAGGGAGGCACCCGCCCCCTTGCCTCTCCACCCGCTGAACTTGTGCGATGTGTTTTTGCTTGGCTTACCGCCAGAAAAGGAGAGGATCCCCCTCCTCCCCGCTAGCCACAGACCCGTGAGAGCAAAACGCGCTTCTTGCTCTTGCCTTCGCTTTCTGCAGCCGACCCCCAAATCCCAGCACCTAGTTCTGGGGCAGCACAACACCGGCTCTTCGGGGGGGGGGCGCATCTCAAGTGGAAACAGCCACGGACAAGGACCCGTTTCCTGTAGGAAAGGCAAAACCTGGGATCGGGGTGTGTTCTGCGTCTCTCCTCCACAAGTCCCACTGGCAGGATGAAGCTGTCCAGAGAGCTGCAGTGCATTTCTGCCCCCCCCCTCCAAGTTCTCTAGAACCCTCAAAGTCTCACTCCTTCAGCTTCCCCTTCTCCAGATCCAGGAGAATCTCAGGGAGAAGTTTGGGCTCACCGGAAGTCTCCTTAAAAGCCCAACAAATACGGCCACTGCTCTCCTTTAAGACCGCTCTGCCTCCTTTTTTTTTTACCGGCCATGGAAAACGGGAATGGGGGCTGCAGGGTGGACAGAGGCAGGAACGTGCGGGAGACCCTCTCCCCCAACCCACGCTACCCCCTCTTGGCCTTTTTACAGAGAAGCCGTGGTGGCATCTGAGCTCAGGAGAGCGCTGAGGACTTTCAGCTGCAGCCACCGGGCAGAGAACCAAGCAGCTTGCCAGGACTGGGACCGTGGAAGCCATGGGGCAGGGGCTTGGGGGCCAGGAGCAGCTGGCAGACCAGGCCAAGCCCTCTCCTGTTTAGGGTTTGGGCAGCAGCTGCCCCAGGGATGGTCCTTCCGCTCGGTTTACAATATGTTCCTTCTTCACTCTCTGCTTGCAGGTCATGTCAAGACTCAGCAGAAAAGAAATCAGCAAACCTTAAAGGCAGAAGAGAAAGAGGAAGGCCAAAGGTGCTCTGGAGGGACCCCAGGAAGGAAGGAAGGAAGGAAGGAAGGAAGGGGTGGCTTCCAGTTTGTAGTCCCTGGGCTGGGCTGCTAAGGAGAGGAGGAGGACCACCTGTGGAAGGCCATGAGGCCTAGAGGAAAGAGAGCAGGTCTTCTTAAGCCTGCCCAGCTCTTCTTGACCCCAGGCGCTGTCGGCCCCCTCCTCCGTTGTCGAGCAGAGCCCCTGTGCCTCCACCTAGATGGCCACCTCAAGGACTCCTGGGCTCCTGAAGGACAGCCCAGTCTCAAGGAGAAGCAGAGGCACATTTCAAGAAAGCAGGGAGACGAGAGCCAGGATTGAGTCAAACATGGTTTAAAATGCAACAGAAGGTTGTCCTCGGCCTCCCACTTACTCCCCTTTACTGCCGTCTGTCCCACTATCCTTCCGAGGATCTCCCCGCGCACGCCCCCCACTGCATTTCCCCTTTTCCATTTCTTTCTCTTTTTCATCTTTTTCCAAGTGGAAACCCCCCCCCCCAAGACGGCCTCATGCCTCCCTCTGAAACCGAGGCTGTTGCCACATTCTTTCCCATTCCCCCTTAAACTTTAACGCCAATCAAAATGTTGCCGTCCATCGGTGACCCCCTCCTCTCTCCTATCACACGTGGCCTCCACTGTGAGTGAGGGGCTGTGCCCCCAGTTTTGAGACCGGCAGGGGCTTCACCAGGCAGCTCTCGATGTACTCAAAGATGGTGTAGGGGTCTTGGTCAGCGTTGAGAAAGACGGCGTCCTCGTAATATTCCTCCAGGTCCACCACCTGCCGGTGGTAGTACTCGGCCTTCTTCTCTACCCGTGCGGGAGCATCCTTGGGGTTGCGGCGGAGGCGCTGGTGCACCTCCTCCTCGGTGGGCGGCTTGAAGAGGGTGTGGTACCTCTCCCCGGAGACCGGATCGGTGGCCCGCTGGCAGAGACGCTGCATCGCGACCTCTGTGGGCAAGTTGAGGAAGAAGACACGGTTGGGCTCGAAGCCGGTGTGCTTCATGAGGTCCGCCTGGTCCACGTCGCGGGGGAATCCGTGCAGCACCCAGCCGTAGGTCTGGCAGTCCTGCTGCAGCAAGCGGTCCTTCAGGACCCGCAGGGCGATGCTGTCCGCCACGGGGTAGCCGCTGCCAAAGAAGGGCTTGACGAGTTCACCGACGGGCGTGTGGGCGGCCGCTTGTTCTCGCAGCAGGTCCCCAAAGTGGATGTTGGCCAGCTGGTACTTCTGGGCCAGCAGAGCGGCCTGCAGGCGTTTGCCGCTGCCAGGGGGTCCCAGGAGCAAGATCCGGGGCGTGAAGGGGGCGTAGGAGCGCGGACGGCTCTGCACGAAATTCAGGGCTTGGGCAAAGACATCCACACAGGGCTGGTCAGCGCTGATGACCTTGTGGCTCCCCTGGAAGGTCAGGATGAGGCCTGGGAGGTTGCGATGGCTTTCCAGGAGGCGCTTGGCGGTCGCTTGCTCAGAGATGCCCTTCGGCCTCACCAAGCGCTTCTGCACCGTAAAGTCGATCGGCCAGTCAAAGGTGGTGTGGTAGACCTCTTGGGTGACGGGGTCCACTAGTTTGCCCAAGTTTCTTTCCACCAGGACCGTGTCCGGGGCACGGAGGACCACGACGTGCCGGGGGGCGATGCCCACGGACTGAAGCACCAAGGCCTGCTTCCTCGTCTCGGGGAACCCATCCAGCACCCAGCCCAGCTTCTCGCAGTCCACGTCGTTCAAGCGCTCCTCCAGCAGGGCGGCCCAGAGGTCCTCCGGGATGGGCTCGCCTCGGGCTTGGCGGGCCATGGCTTCCCGGGCCCCCTTCAGCAACTTGTTGCGCACCAGCTCCTGGGGGCAAAGGTACACCGCGCTGAGGTGCTTGCAGAGCCAGCGGGCAATGGTGGTCTTCCCAGAGGCAGTTGGACCCACCAGGACGACTCGGGGCACCTCGTCGTTGTTCTTCTTCAGGTGCTCTATCATGAAGTCAATAGGATCCGCCGGCTGGTAGATCAGGAGCGCCTCCATCATGCTCTGCATGAGCTGGAAGATGTTGTGCTTCTCCGCGTAGAGGCCCATCGCTGGGGGGATGCCGGGGGGCTTCGTCGCCACGTCCATCTCTCCCGGCTGCCACCTGCCCTGCGCGCCGGGTTCTCAAACAGACTTTGCATTCCGAGGTTGCCCGGCAGCGTCTGCTGACATCACCCTCCGTAGAAAGCAAGGACATGGAATGCCGGGCCCTCAAAGACAGCGCGGAGCCCTCGGAGCCTTGCGTTCCGCCCCGGCGTTGCCCTGGAATCCCAGGGGCCAGATTCCAAGGGCCAGCAGGGGGTCGGGCAGGCCAGGTTGGCCCGAGCCCTGAAAGACAGCGCGCCACCAGTGAGGTTTACCCTTGGACAGCAACCTGGGGGGGGGGCTGTATTGCAGAGGCTGGTTGGCAGTGGGCACACAAGATGCTGCCAGTCTGGGAAGCCAGGAAGGCTAGTCCAGGCCTCTCCCCCCAATGCTATGCCCGCTTCCTCAGTGGGCACCTCGGAGCCAAGCCAGCTGAGTGGTGCTGGTGGTGGTGGTGGTGGTGGGTGCAGCCAGACAGAGCTGGTGGCCCTCCATGGCTGAGAAGCCGGGCAGAGGCTGTCTGCCTCCATCAGAGGCTCTGTGCCGTGATGAGTCTTACCTGCAGTGACAAGGTCACCCGGTGGAGCTGCACCGCCAGGCTCCAAGCACTTGGAAGGCACAACGTGGCAGCTGGATGCTAATGCCGCTTGGCACCCAAGTGGGCAGAATGGGCAGAACGTTGTCTTGGGCACAGCTGGCATGACCCTTTGTCCTCTGGAAGAACGCCAGAAGGACGTGTCTGTGCATGTGGCTGTACGTGTGTGAGCGTCTGCATGTGCACCTGTGTGTTTCTGGCCTCACCTAGCGCGCTGGTTAAGAGGTAGCCCAACCTCGTGACAGTCCACAGGAAGGTAGACTTGGTGGCCAAGGGGGTTAAAAGAGATGGCAGGTGAACCAGGGGACCTCTCTCTCTCCTGGTGGTGCCCAAGAAGCATCAGGCTGGCAAGGCTATCACACCTGGCAGGACTTCCTTGATGGGTGGTGGCACACCAGTTATAGAACCACTCCCCTCCCACCTGTCCTGTCCATTAGAGATCCAGTAGATCCCCACACTTCTGCCTTGCAGGATCCATTTAGAAACATAGTACCTCTTTTGCACTGGGTTTCAAGGAATTGCCAAGGGTTCAGCAGGTGCTTCTTTATATTGTTTGTGTGGTACGGAAGGAGGACACAACTTCAACATGGACAATGAAGACGTTGAAATAGTCAGAGGCTGTGTCTCCCTTGGTTCAGTCCTCCCTCCAAGGGGAAGCTGCAGCAGCCCGGAAATCAGAAGATGACGGAGACTTGGAAAGGCAGCAACGAAGGCACCCACAAAGATGTTGTTGTGTAGTCATTAAGTCGTGTCCGACTCTTCATGACCCCATGGACCAGAGAGCACGCAAGGACCTCCTGTCCTCCACTGCCTTCCGGAGTTTGGTCAAATTCATGTTGGTAGCTTCGATGACCCTGTCCAGCCATCTCGTCCTCGGTCGTCCCCTTCTCCTTTTGCCATCACACCTTCCTAACATCAAGGTTTTTTCCAGGGGGTCTTCTCATGCGATGGCCAAAGGACTGGAGCCTCAGCTTCAGGATCTGTCCTCACGGCAAAGATGGTCAAGTGTAATAAGGATTTGTCATTTGGAGACCAAGATCCTGCTCGTTCTTGGATCACATCTCAGAATGCAAAAGCAGGAGATGTGAGAACCAGTAGGGTGGAGGGCATGGAGTGCCCAGCAAGGACTCAGAGGAGACCTGGGTTTAAATTCTGTGTTCAGGCATGCAAATTCACAGGGAGGTGGCCATGGGAAGCCGCACCTCGAAAACCCTACTAGAGTCATCAATGTGACTTGACAGCAGACAACCGCAGCAACCATCACCACCACCACCATAAAGCAGGAATGCACCCCCCCCTTTCCCCCTCAGCAAAGCTGTCAGGTGAAGCAACAACAGGCATTAAAGAAGACTGGAAATGTCCCCTCAAGTGTGTGTGTGTGTGTGTGTTTGTGTGTGTGTTCTCATATTACAGCATCCATATTTATATTCTCCCACCAACCCTAACCCAAACCACTGAAGAGTCACTGTTACAGGTATGAAATTTAGAAAGAACACAGGGGTAAGCCACACAGAAAACACAAAAAGCAGGCCTTACACATCCCAATTTAACAGACAGTGTGTGCTCAGCCGACTTAGCAGCTGAGGGCACATCTGAATCCCGCAGCCTCAACCCGGCTCCTGACGGACACCCTTCCCCAAATTCAGCTCTCTTGACCCCGTCCCAAAGCAGGCCGCCTCGGCTCGCCTCCCGCCCCCCAGAGTCTTGTTGGGAAGGGGCGTTTCAGCAAAGGGACTCGACAGGGGCCGACGGACCCTTTGCTCCAGCCTAGCAACGCGGAGGACCTCTGAGCATTTTCAGCAGGAGGGAAGTCTGTTTGAAGAGCCTGAAACGCCCAGCGCTTCCCTCCTGCAGGCGTCTGGGGGGGTCTGGCAGCCCTTTTTTTTTTGTCCTGGGGGCCCCCACAACTGAAGGGCAAACTCTGGGAAGGCCGCCCTGGTGCTCATGCCCACTGGCCAACCCATGTCCTGCCCTCCTGGGCCCTTGTGCCTACTTGCCAGGACCAAAAACCAGCCTGCTGGTAGCTCCCTCCCTCCTGCTGAGAAGGTCAGCCATGGGTGGCAGGGAAGAGAGAGCCCCCCCCCAAATCCAGACATAGGGACCCAAAACCGCAGGGGCTCCCACATCCAGGCAGCCTGTCGTTAGAAGCGGGGAGCCCCCTGGTGCTTAAAGATGTCTGGTTGTCACACGCCCCATGTTTCCCACCTCCCGCGGTCTGTCCATCACCTGGCTTGGCTTTGCCAGGGGGCCCTCCAGAGGCGACCACAGGTCTAGCTCCCCAAGGGACAGGCCCCTCACCTGGTCCTGAGACCCACACTGGAGTCGGGTGCGAGTCCCCCTCTTCCTGCCAGGAGCTGCCTGTGGCGTTCCACTCCGGGGGTTCCCATGTCTCAGGCGGCAGCGTGGATCCGAAGAGACCTGAGGAGAGAAAGGGAAGGGCTCCGTGGGTCTGTGCCGTCGCGTGGGTTGCCAGCAGGCATGGCACCCTCCGACCCAGCCCCCACTGGGGCTCCTTTTGGGGTGGCGGGTGGGTGGAGAAGGCAGAGGGTGGGAGCTGTCCTTCCTCAGAATCCCAGTCCTGGCTAGAGTAGACCCACTGAAACCCCATTGATTCTGTGGGTCCCCTCTGGCTGGGACGACCCAGATGATTCCGGCCCCCAAGCAGGGATGGGTGGCGGGCATCTGTGCCATCTCTTCCCCGTGACTGACCTGCCACAGCCTGTTCCCCCCCCCCACTCCCGGAGGTGCTCTTTCCCCGCTCAGATTCTCCTCCGCCAAGCCACACATGTCTGTGCGGGATGGGGAGGCCTGGCGGGACGAGTGTGCCTTGCCCAGCGGGCATTGGGCCCCCAAAAGGGCCATCAAGGGGAAAGCCCAAACAGAGAGGAAAGTTCACCGTGGGGTCCCTCCTAGAAAAGAGCCCCGGCCATGCCAAGGACGAATCCTGCCGCAGAGCCCCCGCCTCGAAGGCTGGGCCCTCCCAAGAGAAGGAGACCCTCCTTATGCCTCGAGAGCCAGCACCCACACTCCTGTCCCGCCTGTTGCGCCCCCCTCCCCCGGTTTCATACGTCGCCTTCACTTCCTACTCACCCAGTTTGCTGGTGATCTCCTTGATGCCCACCCTGAGGCCCGGGAGCAGCGGGTACTGCCTGCCGGGGCTGCTGCTGCTGCTGCCGCTGCCGTTGGGTGCCAGGGCCCCCTCATTGCCCAGCCCCGCCGTCAGGTCGATGTCGATCTTGAACTCCAGCTCCTTGCTCTCCCCCTCCTCCTGGGAGGGCACCGCCGGCGCCACCGGTCCTTTCTCCGCCCGCCTTGGCCAAAGGGAGAAGGGGTGCTGGGGCGTGGGGGCAGGCGCCCAGGGGTCAAGGTGGGTGCTGCGGGCTGAGGAACCATCCCAGGCCCACCCCCCGGGCTCTGAGGGAAGCTCATCAGCCGCAGCGGGGCCAGGGCCTGGCCAGCCCGAGCCCCCCAGGGCCTCCGCCCAGAAGCGGGCACCGCCGCCGGGTGCCTGGGATTGGGTGGGAACGGCTGGCCGGGTGGAGGTGGCTCCCGCCGTCCCCTCGCCGGGCCGGCTCTTCCCCTGGCTACGCACCTTGATCTTGAAATTGAGCCCCAGGTTGAGGGACAAGGCGGGGGCTTCGCTGGAGGTGGCCAGCACGGTGGGTGTGACGGGAAGGGCCCCGGAAGGGCTGGGGGGCTGGGGCCCATGGGCAGACTCGTTCCTGGCCGGCGACAGAGACTGGAGCGCGTGGAGGGGCATTCCAAGGCCCAGACGGGGCAGGCACAGGAGGAGCACCGCGGTCCACATTGGCCTGGAGGTCCTGGGCCAGCGGCTGCTCATCAGAAGCACCTGGAAGGGGACAGAGGGAGAGGGTTGGGTGTGTGTGTGTGTGGGAGCAGCGCCAGCATCGGGGGGGGGGAGGAAACGCTGCCAGAACTGCTGAAAGGGGCTGGGGGATGCAGCCTCCTGGGGGCTTCAGCCAAACCAGAGGCAACCTCTCCAGAGGAGAGCCGGAGGATGAGCTGGTACGTTTGCCCTCGGCCGGCAGCCCAGCTTGAAAAGGATCCCTCAGCAGCCAGGACCGACCCGGGAGCAGAGATGCC